CAAAGTTCCTTGGCAGTTACCCCTTCCCTTGCATAATGAAATGGTTAGCAAGCTGGCCAACTAGATAATACTGTAGTGAGCTGAACCTTCTTTTTGGGTTCCACATGTAGCTTTGTGCCAGACTAAACTCAGTAAATATCTTGTCTAAATAATTCCTCATTTGCTCATGTAGCAAATTCAATTTCACAGGGATTTCCAGCTCCTGTGGCTCTGTGCTAGACAAAGCTAATCTCAGATAATCTCAAGCCAGAATAATTTATCATTTGCTAGTGTGGGGAGTTTAATACATACAGAGGTCTCTTGCTTTTGTGACCCTGCATCACACTAAGGTAAAAATCAGTAAATATCTAATTGATTATGAATTATTTAAAGTGTCCCAAACCCACCAAAAAGAGCTGAGAATAAACAAGCTGGTCTTTGTCAAGTCATAATATTGCCTTCAACCTTTAGCACTCTGTTGATAACTTTGTCTGCCCAGTAAAATGTTTGTCCCGCCATTGCAGGTGAATTCCAATATTAAAGGATAGGGTGTTTCAATTTGGTGATTGTGTTATGTCCTGCTATGACAACAATAAAAATGACCATGATTGAAATAAAGAGCTAGGTTGTGATTGGGACACTATATACACAGAGGATAGGAATGACATACTTGTGAATAATGCAGGCGACTCATGGTGAATTTGTTGTTTCGTCAATGCTGAAAGTTAAAATCATTGTGTAAAGCCTCAAAATTCAATTTCAAACAATGGCTTTGATGAAACCTTGTATTGATTTCAGTCATCACTCACTGGAAATTTATACTGTAAAGGTTTTGTGGGGGAAAATGAATTAGCTTGACTACTCTTTACTAGACCCATGGTCCTGTAGGAAGACAGCTGCCTTGAAAAGAATTGACTAAATGGAACAGATAAGCACACACACACAGTACTAATAATTATAGTGGTAAAGAATGAATTCAAAGAAAACTCAAGAGCAACAACAATTTAAATAAGAAAAACTTGCCTATCATTATGCTAGATACACCCTCAATATGAAATTATTCAACCTAATTAACAGTAATTTCTAAAAAACGTAATGAATTTTTATTTATTAATCCAAAAGATTTTCATAACTTAAACATTATTTTTAGTGGATATACATATTTGAGTAGTAGATGCTCTGTTTTTTTTATTTATTTTTAAACAGTATATTTATTATTGTTTACCAGCCTGAATATTCAAGAAATTTTATTTCTAGATTATTCAGGCTGATAAACAATAATAAATATTAAATATTATTTATAAAAATAATAAAAATATGGAGCATCTACTCAAATATGGGTATCCACTAAAAATAATGTTAGATAAAAATTAATGGTGCACAAAGTAGTAACAGTAGTTCAATTATAGTAATCCGATTGTTCACTGAGGCCTGAGGTGTACTTGTCAAAATATTGTGATGAGATTACGTTACTATTTTAATCAACAAGGTTTATTCCATTTAGTCAAGTCATTGTCTACCTTCAAGACCCAGTGTCTGGTAAATGAGACAATTTTTCTGTTTCATTTCTTGTCATTCAGGATTGTGGATGATAAACAATGAAAATGCATAGCTATTGTGTCAGTAAGGGGGATAAAATCTCTCTCTTTGGAATTTTTGCATCTTGTGTTTGTTGTCATAGCTGACCTATAGACATATCAATAGAAACTTTCTGAAACAAGTCTTCCAATGAAAAAGCAGTTTGGAATTGTACAACTGGAAACATGCTGATCAAAATTGTCACAGCAGAAACAATTAATAATTATCATTGATTATAGTTGACATCTTATCTCAAAAGAGATTGAAGAAAATATTGGTAACTCATAAAGGAGATTCCCGTTTTCTCATGCGTTCTAAAATATTTGCCGGAGTACTGAAATTAAGACAATGTTGATCCACCATTTTGAAAATAGCAAAGCTATTTTTTCTTCTATATGGAGTTTACCTTTGTTATTGAGAACTGAATTATAAACAATGTCAAAGCAAAAGCTTTTTTGCTCCACTTAGAATTTCTGGAGAACAGGCAAAATTCAAGTTCAGAGATTTGTGAATGATTCCATGCCATTTATAATGTTAGAACATTAAACTATTAGAGAATATGAAAATGAAGAATGCACAATAAAGTGTGAAATGTACAGCAGAGAGCCAAACATTGAAAGGAATTTGGTTTGAGAAATTTATCTACAGGTACACTGTTGTCCTCATCTTTGTTGTTATTATTACAACATTTTGAATATTGTGCTCTCTGGCTTTCACCAAATGCTTGTTAATCTGAGTAAATTGTGTAGAATGACAACTGACCTTCTCTACACTAATTGTTGAACATGGACTTGTCCATCTGCTATGAGTAGAATGTCTGCTTATAAGAACGGTCATCACAAAGTGGGTCACAAAGCATAGCATTTGATTTGTATGTATTGCCACACTGAACTATAATATTCTCAAATGCTGTATTATTAATCCATGTTTCATGTGATTAGACCTGTTCTTCACTCAACCTTTTGTTCTAGTATTTTCTTACAGTATTATTAACCAAAACTATGTGCTTTTATATGAATGTTATAACAGTAACCTTTGTGGGAATTCGATCTGGACCCTGTATTCAATTTATTGTTCTGTTGAAGGCCAGAGTGCAATGGCTGAAACGTTGTGATAATAACAACAAAGATGAGGACAATAATCTGCATGTAAATAACTCTTCATTCCAGAAATTTTGATAGAAATTATTTTTAAAATTTATCAGGAAAAATTTCTGTTTTATCAATGTATACTTGCATATTAAAACAAGTGGAAAATTGTCAGCAATAGAAATATACACTGCAAACGTTTTCCCACTTTCTCATCTTGTTCTTTTTGTAAACCTGCAGTAGTAATGCTGAATCACATAAAATCCATTAAAAAATAAGCACAAAAACTATGATCCACAAATTTATAGAGGAATGGTTTCTCTCTTGTACAGCTTCATCAACATCATTTGAAATCAAGACCAAGTTTTGCTTCAAACCTATCAAAGATCTTTGTCATCAGTGTGTGCTAACATGTGCTGTTTGAGATGGGAGTTCTTGCCAAATCGTGCATCACAAATCTCACATAGGAAAGGTTTTTCTCCAGTGTGGGTCAACATATGCTCTTTAAATGTCGAACTCTGGCAATATTTTGCCCCGCAAATCTCACAGAGGAACGGTTTTTCTCCAGTATGAGTTCTCATATGCTTTTTGAGATGTGAACTGAGGGAAAAATCTAATCCACAAACCCCACAGTGGTAATTTTTTTCTCCTGTGTGAGTCAACATGTGCTGTTTGAGATTTGATCCCTGGGAAAAATTAGAGGCACAGATCACACACTGAAATGGTTTCTCTCCAGTATGTATTAGCATGTGCCGTTTCAGAGTAGAACTCCGAGAAAATTTGGCTTCACATATCTCGCAGGCAAAAGGCTTTTCACCAGTATGTGTTAATATGTGCTTCTTGAGTGTTGAGCTCTGTGAAAAGCTTGATCCACAGAGTTCGCAGGTAAAAGGTTTTTCTCCTGTGTGAGTGTACACATGCTTTTTGAGGGTTGAGCTCTGAGAAAAGGCAGCTCCACATTCCACACAATGGAAAGGTTTCTCTCCAGTGTGTGTTCTCATATGCTGTTCAAGCTTTGACTTGCGGGCCACAGTGAATCCACATTCTTGGCATTCATAATATTTTTTTCCATCAATTATTGTCATGTGGCTCATTGTCTCCATGAGGCACAATCTGAAATTGAAAATAAATGGAAGCTTCAATGAATTGCCAGCCTTATTCATTCACTATTTCTACAAATATCAATAACAGCTGAATAATAATTATAATAATAATAATAATACAACTAAAAAATATGGGAAAATTACAAGAATTTAACATAATTTGCAGGTTAGCAGAAGTTCTATCAAAAAGTACGCAGTAGGTAACTAGAGCTATAATATTTAATAAATCAAGGAAAGTACAAGTGACTTATATGATTGACCAACTCAAGAGTTTTGCATTGAAATATTCATTAGTGCCAGATATTTAAAAAATCTATTGAAATTATTATCAGCTTTCATATATATACTCCTCAGAACAAATGCTGTGATGTTTCTAACAAAATTCTAGTGTGGTAAGAATTTGAAATTTGAAATTTAAAAGTTAGAATTAGTGTTCATTCTGAGGAGTATAAATACGAGATCTGATAATAATTTCAACAGATTTATTGAATATCTGTGCATCATGAGCATTTCAACACAAATCTCTCAAGTTGGTCAATCAGATAAGCCACTTGAACTTTTCTTGATTCATTGAATAACAGTAAAAATAAGTAAAATAAGTGAGAATTTCAAAAACAAGGGCTAGCAAACCTGGTGCCAGGCCAGAGAAGTTAGGTGTAGAGGACTTGGAGGCAAATCTTTAAGTACAGCATTAAATAATATTGGAATAAAAGAAAATAAAATCAATATGAGGAACTATGGAAAAATCATCACAATGAATACGGATTAAATGATAAAATAAATGAGGCCAAAATAACAGAAAAACATCAAGCTGAACATATTCCAAAAACAATTAACAAGATATAATTATAGTGTCTATTAAAAAAAAAAACAAACATTAGCTATTCATCTCCAGAAACATGAACTTTTTGTAAAGTTAATCATACACAATCACCATTTCCTCTCTAAGATAAGGTTGTTATTTCAGGTAGTATGGCAAACTCAGTCAAAACAAAAATATAGTTATTGCAATTATTTCTCTTTTGTACATGTATATAAAAATTAGGTGTAAATCCCCATTAAAGTATTTTTACAAACCAGTTGTCATCTAAGGCTAGAAGACCAAGTCTGTGGTGCTTATTTAATCCATAGCTGCAGGGAGAAGAGATGGATTTATACGATTCCCAAGGGTATACATGTACGTGAATTAGAACTTGGCTCTCTGATTTTTCATTCTGAGCGGTTATCCATTACACCACCCTCACATCCACGTTTACAGCACTCAGTAATCCCGAGTGGTCACCCACATAGGTACTGATCAAGCTCAATGTTGTTTAACTTCAGTGATCAGATGAAAACTGGTGTTTCAACATGATATTGTCATACTCTGGTCTAATAAGTAAAAAAAAAAAAAATTAAAAACATTTTAATCTAATGAGACTTGTAGAATTCTTGAATACACTATGAAATAATGTATTTAACCATACTGATGTCAGTAGTGGATTTAGTGCTTACAATTTAGTGACATCTGAGTATAGTTGATAAAAGAAAAAAAAAAAAAAAACACAATCACAAATAAATTGTGCAGATGCTTTTAGTAATTGCTGTATTATATTATGCAGCCAGAAGAGCGAATGAAAATTTTGACATAATAAATCACAGGTTATTCTCTGAAAATTTAATAATAAACTCAATTTTTATGTCAAGTCACAATGAATATATTACTGGTACCATGTAACCCAATACTACCAACTGCATAATAAACCAGCCCCCCACCAAGCTTTCTGGTGAGGAGGGTGGCCTGACACTCAGCAAGATTAAAAACAAAATTTGTCAAAAAAGTGGATGAACCTTTTTGTAGGATCAATGTCCATCAAGCACAATGGAATCGACTGGGCTTTATTGCTATGCATATGGCTAGGGTGGTGGTGATAAGGTGTTTCTTGGCAGAAAGCTTCCTAGACTAAAATCAAAGGTCAGAACAGAGGGTAAACTCAGTTGAATCAATATCCACATCTGTGACCATGGTGAGTGTTGGATGACATAAACAGTTGCTTGAGTTGAAGAGGGATAGGTTCCGTCAGGTCTATTTGTCCAAGATATGCTATAGATACCTCTCTGACTTTCAACCCAGATATGTGGAGGGAACTGGTCATCATGTGGTCAGCAACCCTATGATCACACACAGTCATGGGACTGATGATGATGATGATTAACTAAAAAATTTAACAACTATGATTATTAATGCTAGAAAGTCTGGTGAGTTTGAACCTCATATAGTCCTCAGTGAAAGTAACCTTTTTAAATAGATGGGTGCAGTGTAAACCATTACTTTTGCCCTAAGTTCAATTCTGAGTGTGTCATACTTGTGGCTTTGTGCTCTACTAAATTTTGTAAACGCCTCACTTAATGCCTGGGTCCCTTTTCAACGAGCTGGTAGCTATGTGAGAAATTGAACCTGACTGGTATTTCAGGCGTACTATGTGTCTAATTGTCAAGCCCTGCACTTTTATACTTATGGATTTCATCCACTGAGAGTATCTCAAAGCTGGAAGTAAACCTAAATGAGATTCCCTACATCTCATGTGCAACCACATTGAAATCACTGGCGTGATAATTCAAGCTGTGAAAGAAGTCCTCATAGTAGTACCATTCAAAAAAGATAGTTGTCTGGAATTAAAAAACTACAAACCTATTAGTTTATTGGGTCATATACATAAATTATTAATGGATTCTATTTATAATCAGACATTACTTCTTATTACATAAAAAATCCTATATTTAGTAGAGTGATCTCTGTATTTTCTAAAGTGAATGTAAACCAAAAACAAAACAAAACAAAAACAAAACACAAACAAACAAGTGACTTTAAAAAACATATTTTGATGGAGATGTTGTGTAAAGTTTGCTCAATAAGGTATTTTAATCATTTTATGTGGTCTGGTTCAGATGAATTTTCTTGTCTGTTTTGCTTTTGCATGATATTTTGGCAGTGGACAATAGGATGGTTTTAGCTGAAACATAAAACAAAGATGAGGAAATATGTTTGAACCTAACCATATATAATGACATTTGGAGATAATAAAAAATGGTAGAGAGTGTATTATCAGTTGTTGGCATTGAAAAAATTCGAGTTTTTTTGTTGAAGCTGTTTGTGTTCACTTTGCACTAATATCACTGGGAAAGGCATAAATCCACTTGTACCAGCTATGGATAAATAACAGGGTAAACTGGTCTCTCTAGCTTTGGCTGGCTAACTATGAGACAGATAATTATGATTTTGAATCAGAAGTGGAGGCTAAGGCAAATCAGTGATAAACTACCTTAATTTTGTAAACTTGTGTAAGAAAAAAAAAATTCCAGTGATATGGTGAGATATCACAACAGGAAAAAAAGACCATATCTCTGGGAATGTTTTTTATTTTGCATGGTTGCAGACATCATGAGAATGATGGCCATCCAAAGAAGAAAAGATTTATAAACAAGAGCTTGTGAGGAATTTTATAAATATTTTTTATGTTTAGTGATATCCTCTGCAAAACATGTGAATAAACATTAAAATGTCAAGAAAATTAACCACAGGTTTATTCATTAAATACTGTTTACAATTTATGAATTGAGAAGTTTCATGCTTTATTTATGATCATGTCACATGATATCTTGCATGGGTAAACTTACAATCAAATCATACTGAAAACACCAGTTCTCATTTGATAAGTGAAGTTAAGCAGTGTCAAGCCTGGTCAGTACTTAGATGGGGGACTGCTTGGGAACACCAGGTAAGCAAATGCCTATAATTTGAAATATGTTTAGGCTTTAAATAACCAACAAGCAGTTCCTAAGCTGTAAAAAAATGGTTCCTGTACAATCACCGAAGTTAAGCAATGTTGAGCCTGGTCAGTACCTAGATGGGTGACTACTTGGGAATAACAAGTGCTGTGACCTTGGAAGTGCAGGTGATGTAATGGATAATGGCTTGGAATTGTTAATCAGAGAGCTGAGTTCCAATTCCAGTTGTTTTGTTATATTCACTTATGCACAAATATCCTTGGGGTTAATTATTAAGACTTCCATTGCTGAATCATTATCTAATAAAAAGAAAATTTCTTACAATCTAAAAATATTTTCTGGCTTTAAATAATCTGCAAAGTGTTGATAATCCATAAGAAATGAATCAGTCAATCAACTTTTAATCTGCAAAAATTTAAATGCAATGTCACTTGCTATCTACTGTCCTCCTGATTACACTTCTCTTCCCACTCATTAATTAATGGTTCTGTTCCTACTTCTTTCACACCCAGTAACCCCTTGTGCCTTAGTGGCTTTACTGCCTTGTGTTTAAAAAATAACCTGCTGAAACGGGACAGGGAATCTTATATACTACATCTGTGCATCTGATCTGATACTTTTGTGAGATATTGCATTACATATAAGATATCTCACAAATCAAAAGTTTTAATTACCACCCAAATTCATATATCAATTAACAGTATTAATTTTTAATACTCTAAGCCTTTTATTTAGTGGCTACAGATGTTTAAGTAGACATCTTCCTTTTTTTAAATAGGGTAAATTGGCTTGGGAATTCTTGAGCAATAACAAAGAAAATGTGCCTTTTGGCCAACTTAAAGGAGAAACCACCATTAGGACTGCTCAGCCAGGTTCATTTACCCTTTTGAGAAATGGTTTATAGACATATCAAATTGAAACACTGGATTTCATTCAATCACCAAAGTTAAGCAATGTTGAACCTGGTCAGTACCTAGATAGGTGGTTGCTTGGGAATGCCAAGTGCTATAAGCTTGGCTGTGCAAGTGGGGTAATGGATAACAGCTCAGAATGAGAAATCGGAAAGCCAAGTTTGAATTCCTATTGTGTTTGTAATATTCACTTATGTGCAACTACCCATGTGGAAGATATGAATCTATCTCTTTTCCTCCCAGCTATGGATTAAATAGTAAGACAATAATTATTATATTAAAAAAATTCTTATAATAACCAAAATATGTTTTGGATTTAAATAACCTTAAAAAGGTTGATAAGCTATAAAAACAAATCAAGCAATCAACTTTGAGAAATGCATATTTCTCATTAGGATCCATCAAAGCCCATATCAGATAACTTTATTTTTTACATTCAATGCTTAAACAAAATAATTTCTAAGGAATTAATGGATATTATTCATAATCTGACACTATTTCTTATAATTTAAACATTATATTTTAGTGGATGGCTAGACATCTGTTTTTTTAAATAGGGTAAATTTACACCTACTGGCCTGGGCATTTGAGAGTCTTCATAAAGAAAATGTGCCTTCTGGCAGGGTTTGAATATGTGCACTCCTCATATGGGAAACTACCATCAGGCCTGGTATATGTTAGTCTGATTAGCTACTGGTGTTACTTAAGAAGTACTTTAAATTGAATGAAAATTCAAAATGAGAAGTACTTTAAATTGAATGAAAATTCAAAATGAGAAGTACTTTAAATTGAATGAAAATTCAAAATGAGAAGTACTTTAAATTGAATGAAAATTCAAAATGAGAAGTACTTTAAATTGAATGAAAATTCAAAATGAGAAGTACTTTAAATTGAATGAAAATTCAAAATGAGAAGTACTTTAAATTGAATGAAAATTTGCTGAGCACCAGAGAACTTTCTACAGTAGTAATGGTCTGTAGAACTTACTTGCTTATCATTCCTACACCATGGCAGAAAAAAGGCTTAATGAGATTTAACTTTTTGTTCCTGAATACCACAATGAATAATAAATCATACATCCAAGTATTTGAGAATCACTTCTTCACCTTCATGAAAATTCAAGTGTGCAACACATTTCAACTGGAAAGAATCTTTGAAGGATATCAAGAAGTGGCTAAAATAATAGCATTCAAATTGTGAATTGGATTGGGAAAAACTCAGATTTAAACCAAATTGAGAATTTGAGGGGAATTATGAAGTGGAGAATTGTTGCACAACACTGCAGTAACACAGAAAAACTGACAAAGACTAACAAACATTTAGGGCACTGAAATGATTCTTGTGTTGTTCCTGACTACTCAAACTGAAAAAGTGGTCAGGAACAATAGTTACAGTACTAGAAACTGAATAAGTTCAGTGAATTTACAATACAAAATATTTGGCTTTATATCTAATATTATAGGTCATTTTTTTTTCAGTCATTCTTTTTTTAGGAAATTGTAGTAATCTTATTGTTGCCACTGTGTTCACATACAGTTGTGCCCCTTTATCTGAGTTCGACATGTTTGAAGACACCCAGCATATACCTGGAATCAGGTAGTGTCAAAACCAATATATACTAGGTTTTTCATATGCATAAATTCCTGTCATTAAGCTATGTTTATAAATTAGGTACAATGACATGTTAACAACAATAGCTAATAATAAAATAAAACAATTAGAAAAATAGACTGTAAGTTATATGATGTACAGAAGATTCATTTTTACCAAAGATGTTAGCAAACAGCATATTTTTCTTTGTTATGACAAGAACTGACTGTTTTGTTTTTTATGGATTATCAACCTTTTGAAGGTTATTTAAAGCCAGAAAATATTTTTAGACAGTAAGAATCTTTTGGAGATAATAATGACTTACTGATACAAGTCATTAATTAACCTATAGCTGGAGGCATAAGAGGTGGAGTCATACCTTTCCTAAGGGTATTTGCACATAAGTGAATATAACAAACCTGACTGAAATTTGAGAATTTGAGAGGAATTATGAAGTGGAGAATTGTTGTACAACACTGCAGTAACACAGAAAAGCTGACAAAGACTAACAAACATTTAGGCCACTGCTCTCCAATTTCCTATTCTATGCCATTATCCATTACACAATCCATATATCCAAACTCATAGCACTGGGTATTCCCAAGTGGCCATCTAGGCACTTACTAAGCTTGACATTGCTTAACTTTGGTGGTCATATAAAAACCAGTGTTTCAATGTAAAATGGGCATAAGCCATGACCAGAACTTCTTTTTATTTAAAGCATTTTATCCTTTCTGTTTGGTAGATATGAACTGGCAGCATCAAGTCCCTTAACTAAAACTTATGAAAGGTTTATTTCTGGGTTTAACTGCAGGAAATTGAAACTGGAATAAAGGGTTGAGAACAACTGTATGTACACTAGCTTAAAAGCCACCCTTCTCAGGCAGCTTTGAGCTAGCTCCTGTGGAGGGTTCTTAATTATGCATTCATCTCAATAGGTAGGGAGGGAGGAGTAGATGCAACAGGTAACAATAAACTACAGAAAAACTCAAAACTGATCATTGCATTTAAGTATTGCATTAATATTTGAGCTTCCCTTTTAAAAGTTTAACGATGATTCTTCTGATGCCACTTAATTTAAAGACAATTTCATGTACATAGGTCCTTACTTTCCATACAAACAATTATTTTTATTTCATGGGTGACTTTCGTGGGATTTTGCAGTTAATTTTGATTATTCCCAAATTTATATCAAAGTTCTAAAAATTTTTTACCGTAATGAAAACTTGGGAATCCAAAATTTCAGGATTGCAGATCTGGATCTGGCCTGGAATGTTTAATTTGTTCAGAGAGTCAGCCTGATTCCAAAATGGCATAATATGTTGGGCCACGCCCTCTAGGAGTAAAGTTGAAAAAGTGTGAAACACTGACATTCACATTTATTATGTATAAGATGGAGATGAGCTATTGAGAGTTGTGTTAATTGAAAAAGTGTGACACACTGACATTCGCATTTATTATATATAACTAACTGAGGTAGCTGGCATTGCCCGGGTGTACATGGCTGCAATTGTATATCTGCCTGTCTGTCCCTGCTTGCATGCATCATCCACTGGTATACTAAGCTACTACCCACCTCATCTTTTTTTATGGTATGCCCTTTGCAAGTGTGTGATTGTTCTAATTAAAGGAACTCCATCAATAAGACCTTGTGTGGTTGTTGTCGGGTTAAATTGTTTCAATGTTTTAGATATTCAGTAAATTTTCTATGGCTGTAATAACTTTAAAATAGTATGGTATTGTTCACAAATCTAATAAGCAAGCAAAAACAAGGATGAAGCGTCAGAGCTTGATTCAACTGAAAGTGTAAATGCATGAATGCCCCCCTCCTTCTTTATATATTTACTGTAAAGCTGGGGTTAATAAGGGGTTCTTTGGGAATTTTTCCCTTTTAATGCTTCAAACAATGTTTGCATCAAAGTTTGTTTGAATGCCAATTTAGTTTGTTGCAGTTCGTCTGTTAACTGAAATAATCTGAACCAAAAATTCACACAAGACAATTTGTGTGACATATGTAATTTACATGGCAAATTTGGAAAGCATCAGATAAAAAACCAGGGAGTTATGGCTGAAAAATTGGGTTTTTAAACAGTTTTGCATGGTTTTTCATTATATGTGGGGAAGTGAGCAGGACTAAAACTGCACTATCTTATTTCTTGCATGATGGTAAATTTTTTGCAACATGTTTGAAGAATAACAAATAAAAAATGAGGAAGTTATTCAAGTTTTTATTTTAAGTAGCATGAAAAACCTAATTTTTTCAGTTTTTTGCAATTTTTTGTGTGAAGCCAATATGACAGAAAAACTATCAAGCACTTTACATAAACCTCATAACATGAGCTATGTTTTGCATTAAATGCAAAGAACATCAGCTCATCCAGTAAAAGTTTTGTTTGCATGTAACTTTGACTTGGTTTTTGGAAAAAGTCGTACCCATCTTTAGTTTTATCGATTTTTCTGCCAAACCCAGGAGTTGTGGGGGGGTCGGCTGGAAGTTGAAAAGTTAGTAAATTTGCAACATGTGTGTATAATTTCATCAAACTCGGTTGAGAAATGTGGATGTGCATAAATAACACACACACACACACACACGTCTTCCATTTTATAGATATAGATTATCATCACCACTATCAGTACCCTGACCAGCTGTG